TCTAGGCTTGGACCTATAGTCGCCCACACATCTGCGGTTACCGAACAGGCGCTTGTTATCCTCGGACCGAAGTTGAAACTGTTTACGTACCCCCAAATTTGACTCGGAGCCTTCTCTTCTCGCCGTCGAGGCTCAATCAAGTTGCTACAACGAGGCACCCGATTTCGGTCGCACAAATTACAAGCGCTTCCGGGAATGTAATTAGTATTATAACGTTGCTCTGGCCCCCGTCCTAATCCGGGGAGGGCATCGAAATTCGTATAAAAGGCGCAGCAAGTGGACCTATGATTCTTCAGCATCACCATGTCTGCCCCACAAACCAAATTCGCACCTACTCAATCCTCTTCCGTCCTCGGTGGACAAGTCGTCGGCCGCTCTGAGCGCCAGGCTGTTGCTCCTCCCGCAGCCTTGAAGCTCCGTCTTGACCTCAACCTCGAGGTCGAGATCGCCATCCAGGCGAAGGTCAACGGTGACATCACCTTGTCGCTCCTGTAAGTCGGATTCTGTCGCCTTGCGGGGCGTGCTGAGGCTGATTGCTTGATTTTTAGCCAGTAAATGTGTGAAGGACGCGAGGAGTAGAAGTGATGTTGCATTAGCTGAATCGAGGTAAGACCAACTGTTCCATGGTTTCGTCGTCTTCGTGCTGAGCATCGTGATACTAGACATCATCCACGTCTGTCGGCTACAACTTTCTTCTCTCCTTCCGCTCCCTTACCTACAACGTATTAGTATTTACGAGCGTTTATACCTGTGGAATATCAATACCAGTGCTTTTTTCGGGATCATGTTGTCCGGTTTTGAATGAGTAAGAGTTTCAGCTCTTCTGAAGCGGTAAGTTTGCAGATTTCCTTCGTTCCCTGCATTTTGTTTTGTGCTGAGAGCAGTTACAGGTCGAAATACCTTCTTCCCATATTGACGCGTACCCTTATTTGCACTATACCGAGAGTTTCCGTCCCCCCCACGAGATATCAATATCGGTGTTGCTTCGGGATCACTTTTCAGTCTAGTCTAGTCACCGAGACTCGAAGAGCCATGATCCAGAGCAATGAAGGCACCTTCTACGGATTATCTACGACGGGAACTCCTAGTGGCGCAATAGTACTTTGCCTTGAACGAGCCGACGTTTGTCAGCTGGGTAGTTACAGAGCAGACGGAGTAGTGAGCTCGACAGGTCTCCCACCACCAGAGTGCGGAGAGTGAACGCGGAAGTCATGCATTAGATTTAGAAAATCAAAACAAAAAACATTGCTCTGAAGCCACAGCTTCCCATCGTACAATCCGGGTACGTGGTCATGGAAAACGGTAATGTCTGTTGCGGGATGGAAGAGATAAAGACCGGGGGCATGCGTCACTCGGGAGCAGAACGTCAAGTTTCAACAGGGCAGGCACTGCGATAACCCAGTCGATCGATTCCAGCGTCCACGAGGCAGAAAACAAAAATGTTTATAATAGCATTATGAGTCGACCCAGATTCGAACTGAGGACAGATACGACAACCAACTTCGCCATCGACGTGTACGCCATAGTTGTGAGCGAGCGGTCAATTCTCTCCCCTTACAACGGGCGTTCGGATCCATGGATAAAGAATCGCTCGGGATCCTGCTAGGTGCGACTCGCAAATTGGAGGACGTAATGCGAAATAGGTAAAGAAAGACGTGAAGACACGAGGGGTTGAGCACAGAACGAGAGAGGTACGAGGACTGAGCAGGCGATAAGGGGGTTCCCAACTTGCTCATCCAAACCCTTTAGCGGGCATGGGTCGAACAATCGCCTCAACGGGCCTGCTAAAACGAGACGCACCACCCTTGTCGAAAAAATCCAAACATCCCAGAAATTACGCCTCGGGAGAATCGAACTCCACGCGAAAGCGTCGGACCCGTTTATCCGCGAGTGTGGAAGCGTCCTTGGTGAAAAATGACAGTGTGGAGATGGATACGGCATCTCGAGAGAAATACTATCTTGTTGACGATGCGTGGAAGCTAGTGGGTTATGTATTAGATTTACAGAATAGGAACAACTGTACCAGAAAATGGAGGAGACGGCTTTGAGTTATGGAAACTCTCCTAGCACACCAAAGGGTCCCCACTGTATACATCCTCGCTGCAGTAGGCGAATCTACACCTGCTATCCATCCGACGATCACATCACGGGAGACGCCCAATAAGCAAACATTGGATCCTTTATCCGCGAGCATGGAACTCTCGTACTGAATATCGAAAGGGCCCGAATGTGGACTGCACGAGCTTGCCATCTTTCAAACAGCGGTATTGACATGCTTGCGACCCTGAGATGGAGAGGGATATAGGGGAGGGGGCTTTGCGCAGTGTAGACGAATGGAGGGTGCGCGTCAGAGCGAGTGGTGGTTTCTAGGTCGGGGGTTTCGTAAAACGCTCTCAAGCTACCTAGCTTGCATGGTCGAACTAGGGAAGTAGGGACGGCTGTTGTCGTGCTCGTGCTCGTGCTCGTGCTCGTGCTCGTGCTCGTGCTCGGGAGGAGAGAGAGCGTAACGACGTGGCGACGACTAGCAAACAGCTCAATCCCAAGCCGGGTCAGGGAATTGAGGGTGCGCGGGAGGCGAGTGGTGGTTACCAGGTCGAGGTGTACTGATGATAAGCAAACACAAGTAGTGGGGGTCTCCGTCACGGCCTGCACATTGTCAGTGCGGTAAGGAATGGCCTAGTATCGCGTTGTATTCATGCTCTTGATAACGCGAGAAAGCCGCCAATATCGATGTACTTGTAACGTAGGCCGCGAGCAGGCATTGGAGGGCAGTTGACGCTCGAGAGGAAAGAGCGCCGTGTCTTCTCATTTAGAGGATAAGGATCAGCAGCGAGGAGTCGAGTATGGATCGTAGCTCGCTGTAACGACGGCTAGCGAATCTCCTGATGCTCGTGCTCCAGAGCAAACGGTTCCCACTTGCTATCGAGACCCGTCAAGGAATGGAATCCACTGTGGTCGTCTTGTACCACTTTCGTATGGGGGGCGAATGGAGGACTGTATCGCGTACGTGTGGTGTCGATGATGGTGGATGTGTGATGAAAGCGCCGCCGGTATGCAAGTGAGGAAGCGAACCTAGCTGGGTGGTCTATGAGAGGAGAATCATGGTAACCCAACACTCTTGCTCGCACCACAGCGCCACCAACAACACCCTCACTCTGAGAATTTGGTCCTTCTTACGACGACTTAGGGAGGGAGAAGTGAGAAGAATACAGTGGTCTTCGCACAGTAGACCGAGTTGGAACGTGGTGCAGGAGAGAGAAACGCATCGGGAAATGCCGCCAAAAGTTACTCTTGCACTACCATGCTCTCAATCGCGATAGGAATCCCCGACAGCTCAAGGCGACGAGCTCACCGTCTCAAAACTTGGAACACACGCGTTGTTGTTGGTAAAACCTTAATTGGATGATCCCAGAATAACACTGATATTGGTATCTAATAGGCGTACAGACACTAATACACTGCTAACTAAGGACGACGAGAAGAATGTAACCGGTACATAGCGATGCCCTAACAAGGGTCAGCACAAAACCCACAAGCACGCCAGACAAAGCTCACCTCGAACGGGCGACTGCGCGCCGACTCCATCTCCCAATGCGCATAGCACATTTACTCGCTGTAAACCCACCAGTCAGCTCTCCGACGCGTCGAAATGATCAATACACTTACAGGAGGGACAAGGTGATGTCACCGTTGACCTTGGCCTGGATGGCGATCTCGACTTCGAGGTTAAGGTCAAGGCGCAACTTCAAAGCTGCGGGAGGGGCAACAGCCTGGCGCTCAGAGCGTCCGACGACTTGTCCACCGAGGACGGAAGAGGACTGGGTAGGTGCGTATTGGGTTTGTGGGGCAGACATGATTATGCTGAGGATTGAGGACGGCTAGGTGAGGCTTTTATAACTACTTGGACTACCGTTGCGGAGTACTCGGCGCGGGAGTGCTCGTGTAACCATTGATATTTCATTTGAATATACATGTACATGGAAGCTTGCAATCTGCCTCGTTGACGGGAAATTTCTGATGTAGTAGGACTAATGAATACATCCGTGGGAACCCAAGAGTCGAGCCTCTCTCTTCCTCCCATGATACATGGACACTTCAATTTTTTTTCTCGAAGGCGCCCTACTTCTAGGCTGTTACGGCAAGGCCTGCATTCTGTTTCTGCCTGCCAGTTCCCGTTCGTCGCTCCACGTTCCACCTCCAAATGGAGAACAAGAACCTGCCCGTACGCATCGTGCCCGCCTGAGACTAATCACAAGGTGACCCAAGAGGTACCCGGGTGTTCGCACTTGGTACGTGTTTGACAATGACAACCCACGAAATTTAACCCGGACCTCTCTAGTTCTTCTCTTCTCATCCAATATACGACGACGAGGCACCCGAGTTGCTAAATGCATGGCGCAATCCATAACGTTGCTCTCGCCCCGGGTCGACATTCATGGCGCAATCCATAATAACTTCGCTCGTTCTGGGGGCACCCTCCTCGTATAAAGGTCCCAACCCAAGCACTCTCCCTCTCCAACACAACAATGTCTGCCCCACAAACCCAATTCGCACCTACCGAATCCTCCTCCGTCCTCGGCGGACAGATCGTCGGCCGCTCCCAGCGCGCCGCTGCACCCCCCGCATCCGTGAAGCTCCGCCTTGACCTCAACCTCGAAGTCGAGATCGCCATCCAGGCCAAGGTCAACGGCGACATCACCTTGTCCCTCCTGTAAGTTGGTTTCTCGTCGTCTGGTGGATTCCCCGGTTGACTGTTTGGTTCACAGTGAGTAAACGTGCTACGCGCGCCTGCGGAGGATTTTGGATTGTGCTCGACGCGTTTCGGTGAGGTTTAGTCCGCTGAGTTGGCGTTCCGCGCTAACGTGCATGTCCTTAGCGTTAATTACCTTTCTCCACCCTTTTGTCGATGTTGTATTAGTGTAGTCCACACCAATGTCAATCTCATTCTATGAAGTTTTTGAGTCTTAATACACCCAAAGCGACGAAGTTTACCCCGTAATGGGTCGATGGCGTAGCTGGTTATCGCATCTGTCTAACATAATGTGCTTACAGTCCTAATGTTCACAGAAGGTCCTCAGTTCGAACCTGGGTCGACTCATCACTTTTAAGAAGTACTTTTGCTTATGTAGTTGTTGGTCGACTTCAGCGTTCGCCGTCACCCGTGGCCCGTTGGACCTTGGTTTAAAAATTAAACTCTTCAATGACCATTTACCATTTTCAGCCCTTGGGGCTCTTTTGAATAGTTTTACAAGTCAGAGTAGCACTGTCGGTGAATATATCTTAGTTGTACCATTGAGACCTTGCGCAGGTGCAAACAACGCCATTCTCTTCCTGTCAACAAGGACTTCAGTTTCTAAGTCTTTAAGTCGACAGTGCGGCTGCTTGTACTGGTGTATGCTCGAAATCGGCTTTTGCCGAAAGGTACGTCACCCTGCCAAGGGAACAAAGAGATCCTTGTACTCTTTTGTTTATTGTTCTCGTATGGCACATATAAAAACCTCGCCGTGTGCAATGCTCTTCACCTTTCTTCTTTCTTCCATCCAGCCTGGTGCTTCTTGTCCGTGATGCTTTCTTCCATTCTCTTTGTTTCCGCCCTCTTTTTCTCCTCGCGCGGGGCGCCCACGGCCTCCCTTGACGCCTCCGCCCTCCTCGCGAACGGCCAAGCTGCCCAGTCTCAGAACGTCGCATTCCAGAACCTCTCCGTTAACGATACGTGCTCCAGTGCGTCCCGATCCGTGTCTCGGGTATTCTTCATGCTCATGCTCTTATTGTTCTAGCGGGCGAAGTAGCGTGTATATCCAGCGAAGTGGCCCAGTGTGCGGATAACCAGTGGGCGACGTCGCCTTGTTCGGGCTCGTCGCAGTGCTTTGCCCTTCCGTCTGTGAGGGGGAACGGGACTGTGCGTGGATTTCTTCGTTCGTTGATTACCTAGGGCTGACTTTTAGCGTCTAGTTCCTACAGTGCACGAGTGAGAAGGACGCGACGTCCGTGATCGATGCCACGGGAGCCACTGGAGGCATCTTTGGTAATGGCACCGACACGTCCAATTCCACGACCAGTGCCAACTCCACGGATACCGCGTCTGGTACTTCCGTCGACGATAGCGGGATCGTGACCGTGACCGTAACCTTCACTCCCACCGCGACAGTGTTCGTGAGCACAGAGGTGCCCGTCACGACGACGCTGTCCCCCGACCAAGCCTCGAGTCTTCTCGCGAGCTTGACGGGCGCGGCTGGCGGTTCAGTTATCACCGTCTCCCCAGCTGCTAGTGCCACTGACGCAGAAGTGGCTACTACTGCCGTTTCCTCCTCTGCAGCCACGGTGATCTCTCTCGTTCCTGCCGCAGCTGCCACCTCATAATGCCCGTTATTCTTTATGAACGTCACGGATAGATAGTAACTGGTTTACTACGAGGATATGTATTGTACTGTATCATAGGTGTAATAGAGGACATGGCAACCGTACCACGGACAAGTCAACGACTAATGTGACATATATCGAAAACGGGAAAATTATGCTCGCGAACACCGTGCACTCGATAACTCCTGCGCGTTCGCCGTACACCTACGTCAGAACACTCTCACCTCTGAGCGTTCTGACTTTGGTAAAGGATCCTGGATATTGCTCCAAATTGATGTGACGAAGTTTAAAAAATCTTCTTCGAACTGGGAGATTGAGTTGACCCAGGTTCGAACTGATGATAATTGCGCGCGACAAGCAACTGCACCGTCGACTCATGCTTAAATAAGGGACCCGAAGCCAGATGAGAAGCTCGTTCGATCTAAAGAAGTGTGTAAGTAGAGGGTAGCCTTTCGGCCCTTTCCCCCGCATAGGAAATGAGTTTTAGCGTGGAGCGAGTAATTGGGAACTAGATGCCAGCGCACCCGACCAAAAATCACCATTATCATACCATATTATTGAGCCAGCCCAGGTTCGAACTGGGAATCAGCGACAAGCAGCTGTGCTGTTGACCCGCGACAGGGTTGATGGACATGAGGTTCAGGCATGCAAGCATCTAAGCCAAGACAGTACGGACAAAAACCGTTATGAATGCGGCTCATTGAGTAGACCCAGGTCCCAACTGGAAATTGATATCAAACTGACGGTACCGGAGTGAGCTGGTTAGCAGTCTCGCATTAAGAAATATTCACTAACCGAGCAACCCCCTCCTCTAACCTGTAAAATTATTATTTTTTAAACCCAATTCAAGAGCAACGTTGAAACTTGAAAAGTTCGAGAATCGAAATTTAGAATTTCAATTTTATTTGTTCAAAAACTTGAAAAATGCCACATTATTAGGAGTCGACCCAGGTTCGAACGGAGGGCCTGTAAGGCAGATGCAATAACCAATTTCGCCACCGACATGTACGTTAGAGCAGCGAGCTCGAAATACATCACCATGGTTGTGAGTGTTATCAGTGCTTTCGCTCTGAGCCATGGCGGTCACAATGCGGTGGGTAGGTGCCTGAATTCACGGGTGCCGTTATAAACGGTAGATGAGGAATTGGACACCACGCTCGGGATCTTCGCTAGGTGCGACTGGTACCTCGTGGAGATTCAGAACAAAAAGCGAGAGACATTACGCCAGCTAGGACATTGGGCCGACAAATTATACCGTCTCGTTGGCAGTCCGTCCTGATAACATGTGTTCTTATTACATCCAAAGAGACCCTCGCGGTCACTCACGAGAACGTAGTCAATTTCGCTATATCGCCAAATGAAGAATATTTTAGGGAGCGGGAAGGACCTGTACAGACAAAACCCAGCATATATCCCATCGTCCGACGTTACAGTTTTTCTTCAAGGAAACTCAGAGGACGAAAGAGTCGGATGGTAGAAAAGTAGGCCGCAGAAATGTCGATTATCAGAAGGGCACCGTGACGCCAATGGGGCTTTCTCTCGTTATTGAGTTACATTTTATACGAAACGACATTTTGCCGGTGAGGCCTACACAAACTCTGGAAAGCCATGGATGGTCTGGAATGCGCCATTGAAGTGGTTTCAGCAAGTCTACGAGAGCCATTAATACTATGGGTATATAGATGCAGATTGAAACGTTGAAGCAGCGTGTACTTGGTGGCTGCATTGCCAATCTCTATCCGCTCTCTGGTCGCTGCAGAAACTGAAAGTAGGTACGGTCGGCGAGGAGGATGCTAGAGGTGATCAGGGCCATCGTCTGAATTCGCGATTTTTCTTCAGATCCAGAGGACAAGAGAGCCGGATGAGATTCCGGGTTTCAAGGAAAACTCGAAATTGTTCCTGCCGACTGGCTTTCGCGGCCGAGAGTAAGTTGGGAGGAGGTTCTCATTCTGGAGATGATGGCATGTTCCAAAGAAGCAAATGTTCCCACGGTGTATGTCTCTGCGTTATCTTCGTGTGTCGACCCCTCGAGCACAGTTTGGTGTGTACGATGGTTAAAGACAGTCCGACTGACTCTGATGCAAGTCCAATCCATAATGAGTATGGCAGCACAGTGTTTGCGCTTAACGAGATTGGACTACACGAAGAGAATCAAGTTAGAAGTCACGCTAGGATCCAACTGATGTATAAAACACGCGGAAGCACAAATATCGATTTTCTTCTTATACGAACATGTCACTACTGGAATCTTGGAAACGCCTGGAACAACATCTGTTGAAGATGATGCATTGCTACGCTCTTCTTAGTTAGCGGCCGTGTTGATGACCCACTCGTTCTCCGTGTCTTCGATCTGCGCTCCGCTCTTGACTTGGACCTGTATACGATTAATCCTCAAACTCGTATTCTCAGCAAGGACAGCAGACTCACGATTGGGCCGATGTATTTCCCCGTGTACCAATACAAGTCCTGACCTGAGGGAACAATCCTGACAGACGTTTAACGGAAATTCTGACACAACTATAAGCCACCGACTTACACATAGGGTCCGGTCTGAGTAATATCGACCTGCCAGGTCGTGGCGGTGCTTGACCAGACAAGCTTGCTGCCGGATACAGCGCCCTGTTGTATTCGGGATTAGAAAGAGTCGACGATCGAAGGGTTGGAGGAAAATACCTGAGGCAAAGCAACATACAGTCCGCTGACGCCCTGGATGGTGACATTGGTGATAGCAGGTTGAAGGGCCTGGCTGAAGGTCAAGGTCTGCGACGAGGCCGGTCAGTATTAGATGGTACTCCTGAACATCAACCACAACTCACAGCGCCGTCAGGGATGCCACCGTTACCGTCGGCTGTAGCGACAATCTGGCCGGGTACATCACACCTGGTGCTGGTGATATAGTAACCAGTGGCCGAACTCTGAGCGGTATAGTTCTGAGGCATGTTGTTAGTTGTCGATATTGTTGGAGAATTGAGGGGAACTGTGAGGATGTCAAGAGGCGAAGGATTGCGGTTTTATACTGCTTTGAGTGAATGACCAAGACTCGGAGTAAATGAACACGAAGATTCTTTGTGTTGACATATTTTTGTAAGGACTAACCAAGGCTCCAATGCATGTATAGGGCTTACAGCATTCTATAGAAAAAAGTATAAAGACAAAATTAATGACACAGATCCCAAGAAGCGCTGAAGGGGACACTGGAACTCGTACCATGACCTGCGTGTCCTACCACTAACCATTGAGCCTTTCCAACCTTTCCCTGATGCTCTGAATTAAGAGCACCTGTACTGTGAACGCGAATCGATAAAGTCACGAGTGGCGGAGATGAACATAGGTGCCCGAGGTGAAGCAGGTGCCTAATGTTGCCAAGACCCCTGCGGACGATGAGAGGTAATGCCTTCGAACGTGCGAGGGTTTGGAGTCGGAGTAGTAGTAAGGACTTGAGCATAAAGCAGTCAGGAGGCCCGATAGACAAAAATAAGGCGGCGACCCACCTTACTTGTGTATGCTAAGCTCTCCGCTCAAGTCAGCGGTGGTGACTTAGCTCGGACGAAGCATATTCAAGTACGTGTAGAGGGATCTAGGGATCTAGGGAATAGCACAATCAGCTTTACTGGACGTAAACCACAAGCGAAGATTCAAAGACCGTTGTTTCCGACAAACAAGGCATGCCTCTCTGACGGGAGTATAGCAGTCATGGCTACGCATCTGTCGTCAAACCGCTACAAACCGACAGACGCA